TATTTCCATCGTCGCTGCCTGCCAGGATGGGGCAGGGGCCAAAAATACAGTAGAGCAAAAGGTACCACATACATAGTCTGCTTTCACTGGCTAGTCCAAGCCAGTGGTCCCAAAGCTCTTTCCTTAGCCTTTAAGCAGAGAGGGAACCTGTTGCCTTCAGTGACTCTTGCCTAAGAAAGCCCTTTGTGACTTGTCCTACAGGAAGATGTTGAGTGATGCAGACTTGCCTCTCTCCAGGCCATCCATCCAGCCTGTGGTGGAGAAGAGGAGCTGCTTGCTGTGCTGTCTAAGTTATGTTTGGCCATCCTGCCATTTGGGCAGATCTGCTGCCCTTCATTGGCTTGCACATCCACGCCAGCTCCCTCAGGCAACCACCCAGGGCATCTGCCACAGCTTTCATTGGCGTGGCAAGAGTTATCTGTTCTGCGTGAATGGGCCTGACCAGCATCTGGCAAATCTCTGCACCACTGGGATCTCTTGTAAAGAGCAAGGAACTGAGTACTCCAGTAACATGATTGTAGAGCTGAAGTGAGTCACTGTAAGCAATGGCTCTGCCCTGACATGGTTGCCTTTGAGCTAGAATGAGTCAGGCTTCTTCCCCATTTAAAACTACCTGAATCCACAGTGTCTAGCAGACATTTCTGTCACATAGATGGTTTTTTGGGTGCACATGGTTTCAGATTCAGTGGCTTTGGCAGGAAGCACGTAGCTGAGGTATCTGAAAGTCTGCCTCAGCAAGGGAGGGCTGGGTGGGGTGGACAGGTAGGGCAGATCTGGCCTATGCAGGTGGCAAGTGGCCATGCTTTTCACACTGCTCTTCCTTAACAGCAGCACAACCCCAGAGATTGTCCTTGGCTGACTGGTAAATGGACCATGTTCGCTGAGGAAGCAGCCAAGGCAGTGCAAACCTGTATTGCCACTCACTGGCAATAACCTGCCTCACTGCATGTGCTTTGTCCAGGCCAGTGCACCATTAGCAAGGTGGAGAAGTAGAAGAAGAGTGCACTGACAATGCAGTTGTCTCCGTCTCTAGAAGATCTGGGAATGTGATGGTCTTAGTAACTCAGAGATGGACATTTTCCCCCTCACCATAATGTTTGAGATTTAGAAAATCTTCTCAGAAAAAGCTGCCTGTATTTTGAAAAGAGTGAAAACATGGAAAACATGGCTTGAGTCAGTCAAAATGTTTCTGACGTGTTTTATTTCAGTTGTAAGCCTTTATGATGTGTTTGCAGATTTTTTTTTTTTATCTTCAAGAACTGAAATCCTTGAAATGACATTTGAATAATGGTGAAACTTTGTATGAGCAATCAGAGAGAAAACAATCTTCTCAATTCCTTTCTACTGCAAGCCCACGCTTTTCACTGGTTTAAGTGAATCCCTACTTCCTGCTTTAAAAAAGTCAGCTGGGATAATGTAAATCTGCTTGATTCAATTAGAAGGAGCTTTTGAGCAGCTGCAAAGTCAGAGAATTTATCTCTTATGTGATAAATGATGGCAAAGAGGTCACCACTTGATATAAAATTAACCCCAGAACTAGTTTTTCCTAGCTTCTAGCTCAGTTTTAAATGATGCTGGTAATTCTGTCTTTCATTTGAGTCAGGAGATCACAGTAAGAGGCATCACAAAGCACCTAGAAGTGATTCAATCATGAGACAGTAGAGATACACATACCCATGTTTTACAGTCCTAACTGCAAGCAGAGACATTAACTTCTCATTCACTGGCAGCTGATTCCAAATCCCTCTAAATGGCTTTAAGAAAATATATGTTTCTGAGCTTTACCCTCAGCTAAGTCTCCCCTCATACTGGTCTTCTAGCTACTTGAGTGATAACATGAGGCACAAGGTAGAAGTCACCTAACAGCTTAGTACTAGAGTAAATCTCTCCACTCCATGGAGCATGTATTGTTTTTTAACTAGACTTTGCTCCAGCTCTGTGTCCTTAGCACACAAAACTGTCTCAGTGGTGACAACCACTGAAATCAGTGGAGTTACACTCATATCTGTGGGTCTGGTCCTACAGGCTCCTCCTTATGTATGCTGTGCCACAATGTCATCTTGGTGTGTGACCTGCCTCCTCCCATGCTGGCATATTAAACTGGATGTATACATATTCATATGTATTTTGATGATAAATGATGCCTGTAATTGTTCGAACAGTTCAGACTGAGGAAGGTTGAACTGAGGTGCAAAGACAACAACCCTGCCTGACCAAGATACAGCAGAGGAAACCTCTACCATAACCAACAATAACAAACCACAGCAATTACTCAATTAAAGCTTAATCCATCTTTAATCAAGACAGTCAGTGTAAGAGGCCCTTGGGATTTCTGTGAGAAGGAGGAACTCCCAATCAGTGCAAAGGGAATTAATTGTTCCTTTTTATTCCAGGGTCGAAGTTGCCCCCAGATTTGCAGATGCTAATTTTCAGAAAGAGAATCATTAGTTTTTAATAAAGAATTTGCAACTTGGGAGGTGGGGGGATGGACTGAAAGCATTTCCTCATACAGTTTGGAGTTCATTAGTGCACCCATCAGGGAAAATGTGTGAGAAAAGTGAAATCGGATAAATATTCCTTATTTATCCTCCAAACCAGTAATTCAGAAAAAAAAAGCAATTTCTTCTAAATCTGAGTTCCAGGTGACTACCTTTTATCTGAGCTCCATTAAATTATTCCCCTGCTAAATTCTCATGAAATAGGCTTTTTGCTCCAGCAGATGTTGACTCTCTGAGATCATTTTGAAAGCAAAACATTCTGTTTTTATTAGTAATGATCCATCTTCCACCCTGATGATGTGAGGGGCTTGAGGAAGGTGTTTGTGCCTAGGTGTCAATCCCTGTTTCTTTGCTGTCATGGGGACAGGTTGGGTGACCTGGTTCCTGCTTGTCTCCCTGGCTGTGGGTAGCACTGGGGTACAACAGAGAGACAGGAGAGCACCTGGTAGTGATTCTACCTCCAAACAAGTCAAGAGGCAGTGTCCTTGGCCTGACATTCACTACTCAAGCTTGTAGCTAGATCCCTTTCACCCTCGTTCCTACTGCAGTGTCTCAGCAGGGTCTCCTCTCTTCAGTCTCAGTTATGGTAATTTTTTCCTTCCTTGGTTGCCCCATGTGGTTCATTCCCAGGGTTTATTTCAGTGTGGCAACCACCAGACACAATTTTTCTATGGTCTCCTGTTTATTCTGGAGTTACACATGGCAAGTTTCCTACACAGCTCTTTTTAAAAACACAGATTTATTTGCTTTTACTGACTCTGGTCAAAGCAGCTATTCTGAAATCCCATAGGGATGGAGCAGTAGAGGCAGACAGATGTGATGAGCTGGAGCTGCTCCACATACCAAGTGCTGCTGGTTGAAAAGAGCCTTGACCTCTTTAATACATCAGGTCAGTGAAAACAGGGCTGGACAATACTTTGGTTGATAATGTTCTGAGGGGACTAGGCAGAACTGCCTGAACATTTCCCAGGTGGTGTTTCCTTGGGGCCTGTTTGCCTTGACAGATTTCTTCCTGTGAGTGAACTCTGAGGCAAAAGGAATATTTTATGAAGCTTTTTATATCACTGTCTATGGTTTTTGTGGCAAATTGAGCTCCCTTCTTGTTGTATCTCTTCTCTTCCTTCCTCTCCTTGGTGACCTCGCAGCCATCAGTGCCTGAATTCCTGCCTTTGCATCCTTGATTTTCTCTGTCTGCTCTTTATGAGGAGGGTTCCATATCCATAACTCAGCATATGTGGCTTTAATGCTAGTTACTGCAGTCTGAAGGGAAGGAGCAGACTTGGGCCTGTCCAAGTGAGTAGAAGATCCCAGAAGTCTGTGATTCCCTGCCAGAAGCAGCAATGGAAATGACAAGCTTGGTTTGGGACTTTCAGGCTCCTACCTTTATGCCAGGGAGCCTGGAAGCCATCAGACCCCAAGGGTTTACAGAGTCCTCACTATGGGAATGAGCTGGGTTCCCTGGGCAGCCAGGTGCTACTGAGGTCTGGGACCCTCACACAGTGAGTGTCCTCACTCCAGTGCAGTCCTGCAAATGCCCAAGGAGGAGATTATTCCTATCAAACCATTTTAATGCAGGTTTGGCTCCATGGGAAATGTAGAGCCTAGGTGACAGGAGCATCAGGTTTCTTAATCTCAAGGGATGCAGTGGCATTTTATCATGTCCTCTGAATTATTCTGTCACAAGCATCTTGAAGGTCTGGTTTATCTTCTCTAAAATGATTAGTATGCTGCTCATCAATCATTCTTATTTCACAACTAACATGCTGCAGGTGGTTTAGCAACCTGAGCATTTGGACTGAAATAATTGCACTCTCTAGAGCCCTGCCTAAAGCAGGGGGAAGCTGCTGGTGCCTTTGAGGTGTTTGGGTGCTGTGGGGATGGGGGCATGGAGTGCTTGGGTGGATGGCCAGCCAGCCACCTGTGCCAAGCTCTGTCCTTCTGCAGCATGCCAACTCTCAGCAGTAGCAAATTTCAGTTGTACAGTAGATTATGAAGTCAAGGCTGAAGAAAGGGAAAGCTTCTTTTATTTCTCAGACAATTAAAGAACTCAAGGTTATTTTGTCTTAGTAACACATCTCTACCTGCCTGGCTTTCTCCTACTTCGCTACAAGCTGCACTTGAGTGGCAAAGTGATTCTTGTATGTGTAGAAAGTGGGGGTGCCTGGGAAATGTTCAGCACTCACAGGCAGACTGGCTTATTGGAGAAGCTGAAGAGTCAGCACAGTGAGTTTTCCCCACTGCTTGCCATTCACCAAAGCCTAAATCTAATTTTAGGCATTAAGCTGAATATGAATTCTTGAAAACATATGGCATCAATTCTGATGCTGATTGCTTTTGGTAAATTGGCTTGATATAGCCAAATCCTTTGAGTTGTTTTCCATTCCCCAACAGGGAATGTGAGAAAAGGAGAAAGATCTAGGTCTGAGAGAGACCAGGTCTCTGGCCAAGCTAGCTCCAACAATGTACTTGTTTTAGCTATCTGTCTTCCCTGTAGGACCAGCTGTTTCTTCAGGAGCCCTGCTCTGGAATGTGTGCAAGTTGGGAAAAGACTTCACCGATAACTCTACACTTACAAAGCCACTGAGTGGTACAGAAAATACAGAAGACAACCCTGAAACAAATGAAGTAAAGAGTTAATGAATCCTCCAAGAAGCTTTAAGTTTGCACAGAGAAATCAGAGAGGGGAGTTTCACCAGTACATTTCTCTGACCAAACCCACAGATAAAGATTAACTGAAAGTCTTCAGGGACAGCAAACAGAACAATGTTACTGTGAGGCCAAGTGTTGTTTTGCCATTTGTTCTCTGTATGTTACCATGGAGTACAAGTGCTGCTTGTGGGTACAAGAAGAAATAACCTTATATTCGTACCCTACATTTATCTCGGACACATCCTGAAGTTTAAACAGTTCATAGTGCTCTTCTTTTGTACTGGACCATTCCACTGCTTTCTTAATGGAAATCCCTCCATCTGGGGACACTCCACTGACACCTTTGTTTAAGACCCGCTGCAGAGATTTCCGTAAGTAATGTGCTTTGATTGTATTCCTGTTCTTTCCGCATTCCCTGGCTGGGAGTGCTTGAACAGACAGACATTGCGTGTGGAATGTTTGTGGGAGTGGGCTGTTTGAGGCAAGTATCCAAAATATCCATGAAAGAGCTTCAGAGTGAGAGTTGTGCAAACCTGTATTGCAAACCTGTTACTAATATGTATGCTCATCCAGGTGAAAAACTGGGTAGTATATCATGTAACCCTATGTGTCCTGTTGTGCTTGCATATACTGCAGATCACTAGTGCTGTTAATTACCTGAAATTGTTTGCAGAAACTTCTTGACAAATTGTTCTGAAAAACATACAAACCTAAGGAAAAAGCATGGCTGTTGGGGGGGGGGGGAGGAGGGAGCAAAAGGCAGAAAATGAGCAAGCTACTTTTTTTTTTTTTGGTGAATTAATTACCCATCTTCAGATCTGACAAAATAACTCAGAGGAGGCTGATGTCTTTTGTTGCTCTATTTTCAGCCAGTGCAGGAAGCAAAAGTGTCAGAAATCTCTCTGCAAAGCCTGTTTTGATGAGATTTCCAGCCAGTTTCATGAATGAAGTTGGTTTGCATTAACTGTGAATAAGTCCTTGGGCAGAACTAGCAAATCATGGGTTCATTGATCACAGACACTTGTGTGCATGGCATCTGACCCAACACTCAATAAAGGCAATGAGGAACCTACTGGGGCAGCTTATCCAATAGCTGTGGAGCCACTTTGCAGTTCCAAAGCATCTGGAGTCAGCTATTCCCAGACACTGGAAACTGGATGGGAGTGAAATTTGCTTATGTTCCTGATTTATGGAAGTTTGCATCAGGCCCAGGAACAAGTTCTCTGCTGCTCATTTACAGAACTGATGTAACAGATGAGACCTAGTAAGAGTCAAGCTCATCCTTTCCTCCTGCTGCTCTGATGTTTTATTTTCCATCTGTAATTAACAAGGATGGATGCCTACTTTTGGCATTGTTTAACGGTGGGGGCTGTTTCAGGGCCGTCCCCTGAGGCTGTCTCCACAAGTAACATGTTTTTTAAGTTATGCCTCTTTATTGATCCCTGTCTGAACAATTACCAGTGGTACTTGCTCTGAGCCCGAAGGTGTCTGCAATTAACCCCACAATGATATTCAAGGAGAGCACTATTTTAAAAGGCTGCCTCTCCCAAAGTGTGCTGTGTGTTTAAAATGTGACAGGCTACATGACAGGACCCGAAACAGAGACATTTGAGAAAGCTTGGGATCTTCTGATCCTTGAGCCTGAGCTCAGCCATACTTCCTGACTTTGGCTCGGGAGCCTCTGTTTCAAACACACCATTTTCACCTGGTATCTGTATCTTTATTATGCCTCCAGAATAACCACTGTTTTAAAGATTCCTGCCTTGATATTACAGAGTAATACTCTGCCTGACAAAGCCCTAAAATCTGGTGTCTGGCAAATAAAAATTATTGATAATGATTGTTTCATTAGAGGCATCAATAACTTCACCAGAGCTGTTAGGAAAACAGCTCAGCTGCTCTGAAAATGGCAAAGGAAACTTAGTGTTAAGTAGCTCACTTTGCCTGCTCTGCAAACTCCAGCTAAGGCTCCTGGGAGTCAGATTTTCTGGAGGTGGAAATCCAGTATTGAATGTCTGACGGGGCATCAGGGCTACCAATTCTGCTTGTGAGGCTGTATGAAAAGCTAATATGTGCATTGAGAAGTAAAATCACTAACTGAATGATCCTTCAGGAGTTGTGGGCCCAGTTCTTGTTTCTGTGGCTGGTTTTTTTTCATGACCTTGGGATGGTTACTCTTTCTCCTTGTCCTCACAGGGGCTCAGTTGCTGGATCAGTCTTTTAGTTAGGTGGAAGAGAGTAGGAGAGGTCAGGCCTCTCATCTGCTTCTTTAAGCAGCCTGGACAGCCCCATGGCTGGCACAGTTTCTGCCTGCAGAGACTACAGTCAGCAAAGAGCCAAGGCAGCAGGGCACTATGATCCCTATCTCCATATGGGCTGTCCCTGTGCTCCCACGCAGCTGCAGCACCAAACTGCTTGTGGAGCCAGATGCCATACAGGAGATGGGACTTAAAGGGATCTTCCTTCAGGCACAGGTTTTCCTTCCGAGCTTTTCTTTCAGAAGGTAGATAGTCCTCTGTCACTTCTCAGCCTGGTGGCATAGTTACTTGTGCTGACAGCACTCAATTTGGGGGCTGATGCAGCATGACAGGTTGGTGTGAGCCTGTTTGAAAGGGTCTGTGCCAATTAGGGTCATCTGTTATTATCATAGGGGCAGTTAATTGAGGGGCTATCCATAGGCAGCAGGCCATCTCTCTCTAATTTTCCTTCCCTCCTGTTATTTAACAAAACTAGTGAGAGGAAGGCTGCATTAACTTTACTTTTATCTTTAATTCTGTGACTGCAGTAAAAGCCAGTATCTGAGAAGCCACTGAATACAGGATAGAATTGGTTCTGTAATAATAACTTGTTTTCCCTCTTTGAAAATAAATATGGTCCTTAGTAGAGAAATTTACCCATTGCTGGCAGTCAATCAGCCAGGACAATTTGGGCTCTGAGTACTCGATTAGAATAACTTTAAGGAAAATTGCCTTCCTCAATCAAGTAAGGATCCATTAACCTGATGAAACAGGGTTTGCTTATCTGAGAGGTTAAGACTCAAAACACAGCCTTGGCTGTATTAGATGAGGCCTCTTTTAGAATGGGAAGTAATAAAAACACCATCTGTCATGTCTAGTCAATCAGACCTTGTATAAGAGAGGAATTATTCCTCTGACTTTACCATTATGAGATCATTTGTTTGTTAACAATGGGAAGTGTCAGGAATTCTGAACACTGGTTTTATTCCATCGAATTATTTCTAGCTGCCTTTATCTTGCAGAGAATTAATATTAATCTGAGTTTATACAGGAAAGAAATATTTCTAGATGAATACAATGCTAAGGTATTTCATGTTGACTCTCTACTGATTTATTGTTAGAGGTAAAACTGAATGGAAGATGGAGGAAAAAGTGCCATGTACACTTTGCTTCTGAAAAGTATTATTTCTGTAAACCAATCTCATTCAAGTTGCTGAGCACTCAAACGTTCTTTGAAGTCAATTGAATATATACCTCTCTTGTAGCCATAAAGGACCTTAAAGGACTGGGGTGGCTAGATCTTCTCATGTTATGCACAGGCATAGCTGGAGGTCATGAAAAAGGTGATTGCATTTCTTTTTGGCATGGATTTATGAAAGCTAATAAATGCTGGCACTAATGGATTTCTCTGACAGTGAGTACCAGTGCATTCTCCTCTATTCACTAAGGAGCACTTGGAGACATCTAAAGACTGAATGCCAGACAGCAAAGACAGGAGATGGAAGGAGTGGTGGAAAGCCTGTACTAGCATATACCCAGCACTACTGCTCATCAGCTGGGGGAGAAACATCATCTTCCCTTGTCACACACCACAGATGAGATTGCAATGGATGCATTAACATATGCCATTGCCTGCTGCTTGGGCACATGCTGTGCTGCTGCCCAGCACATTCAGCACTGCTTCATAGCTTCTGGGTGGCCACAAGCTGGAAGCCACCAGAGGTGGTTTTTTGTGCCTATGGGAAAACCATTTCTGTGTTCAGGGTTGCTGTTTGCACAAGAGAAGCAATGGGGTGTTTGCAGGTGTGTGATGCAGGACTCAGTTGTTGTGTGATGGGCACAATCCTATGCAAGATCCCAGGAGGAAGGAGACAGGCTGGGGATAGAAGAGGAGGGTGAAAGCAAATGCCTAATTCAGCGTTCAGTCATAGCCAAAAGATGTGCTCCAGTTAGGCTACTGAGCCTGGGGTCCTGTGAGAAAGGCATGTTGAGCAGAAGGAAGACAACATGTTCTCTGGGGTCGCATCAGGAGAAGGCTGAGCACTCCTGATCCCACTGATGTAGGTGGATCAGATGCCACTCAGCTCCTAGAAAAACTGGATCTCTTTTGGGGAGTTAGCATAAAGATGAAGAATCACAGATGAGTTCTTGTTTCTATGAGAGAATAACCTTTTTCCCTGCCAAGCTCTGGGGGGATTTGTCATGAGTGCCAGTGGAGAACAGACCGCTGTGGGCACTGGATGGCCAGGACAAAATGAATTGTGCTACAAAGTGTTAGTGTCCCTGGAGACCCAAATGCTGTATGTTTAGATTAACATTAAAAAAAGAGGAAAAAAAAAATCTCTAATTTTGTGCCACTCCCTTTGGGACCTGATGCAGGAAAAACCCACATGACTGCATTTCCCCCTGGAGCTGGTGAGAGCTACTCCCACTCACTGTGTTAGCAAATTGATCCCCATGATCACTGCGGGGGGAGGCTGAAAAGAATGGATGGCACTGCAAGCTCGTTATGAAAATGCAGGGAACCACAGTTAATGAATCTTGGATGAGCCCCTAATCTGCCTGGCCCTCGGTGGAGGAGGCTGGTTGGGGAGGATGTGATTAACATCTCAGTGGAAATGACAGTCCCTAGAATGCAGAAGGTTGTGTCATATCTGTCAGTGCTTGCATCTGGTAGGGGCCACTGTCAGCTGATATCTCTGTGGATTAGAGCTGGAGAGTTTTTTATCAGAACAGAGGTATTTTTGGGATTTACATGTTCTCTGTCCCTGGCAGCTTGCCCTGATGAAATACCGATTACACAATTGCAATCTGACTTAAACTATAGTCAAAAAATCAGCTGCATGTTGGGTTATGGTGAGAATGTGCTTTCTGTGATGGCAAAGATTTGAAATTGTGCAGTGCATTTTGTCTCCTAACACAGGGAAACTTGCAAAGAACGTTGAACAGGCTGTTTACTGTGGGTGTATGGAAAAGAATTTGGAAAACTGAAATTAATGCCTTCTCTGAGATTCTCATAATCCTGTAGCCGGATTAATGAATGAAACCACTTGCCCCAGATGTACAGAAGATTAGTGCTGCTTGACTGTTGTAGTATGGCCAGTGAAGTTAAGGTTAGGAAACCTGAAACAAGT